TGAGACGTTCTCCCCAACCCTGATGCTGGCATCGGACACGTGGCCATGAACATTCCACCGTGGCCGGGAGGGGGCTACGTCTGAGACGTTCTCCCCAACCCTGATGCTGGCATCGGACACGTGGCCATGAACATTCCACCGTGGCCGGGAGGGGGCCACGTCTGAGACGTTCTCCCCAACCCTGATGCTCGAATCGGACACGTGGCCATGGAAGGGATTCTCTTCAGAGGCCTCGAGCGAGGGGGTTGATGAGGGTGGGGGAGGCTGAGCCAACAGCATGTCCGAGCTGCAGGCATCCTTCTTCGGGGGAGTGTTCCACTGCAGCTGTGGGTCTGGGCTGCCCTCTGTGGCCTGGAGGGAGCCGGTAGGAGCCCCCACCAGCCCCCACACAGTACTGAAGTCATACTCCTGGACCTGGGGTCGCTGTGTACAGGCTGCTGGGGGAACTCCCACCATGGACGGCAGGTCTGCACCAATGGTCTGCAGTGCCTGCTCCAGCAGAGGGGCCTCCCCATCCACAGGGCCTTCCCCTAAGAGGGGGGCCTCCCCCGGGGGCAGAAAATCTTGAATGGTCAGGCCAGCAGAGAAGGGCTCAGACTCTGATACGGAAGAGCTCAGGGGCAAGGGAGTTGTAACAGCCCCCTGCCCCTCTGCAGGTGTGGGTTCTGCCAGGGCCTGGCCACTGCGGTGAGGGTCTCCACCTGTTGGCTCCACGGGCCAGGGCAGGACCTGGAAGACAAATGCCCCCGATGGTCTCCCCTCCCCACCTGGTGACCTATACCTCGTCCCCAAGGGCCTGGCACTGAGGACAGCAGATAAGCCCGGCTCATAGGGCGGCACACACCTGATGACCACCAGTCCCACCACAGCCCCGAGCCCTGACCTTGGGGTGCTCTGCTCCTGCCCCAGGCGTACACTCAGCCAACGGGGGCTCATCCAGCAGCTGTAGGCATGGCCCCTCAGACATGTCCTCCAGCAGCTTCTGGAATCAAGGTCAGCAGAAAGGAGATACTGCTGTGAGGTCCCCACCACCCTCACCACAGCATGGGTGCACAGCACACTTGCCTCGGCGTACACCTGGCCATGCCCCTCGACCTCCTCCCTGCCAAGGCTGCTCTAAGAAGCCCAGGGTACCAGCCCCACCTCCCCCATCGACGGGTACCTGCAGGCGGGCCTGGTCGGCCAGCAGGAAGGTGCTCCGGGCCTCACTCAGCTTGTGCCTCTGCAGCTTCCACAATGCCTTTTGCTCCCGGCACGCTGCCTCGGCAGAGAGCCGCCTGTAGTGCTCCACCAGTGCCTGCCTGGGCCCCAAAGACATAGCCTTAAGCTTGTCCCCTGGGCCCAGGAATCAGGACTCACTACCGGCACAATGCACCCCTGCCCCACCCACCACAGCAGGTGGTGAGGTCCCTGCCCTGCAGGACAAACCCTGGGTTGGCACCTCCCTGCCTACAAATGGACACACAGTGTACCCGAAGCACAGGACCACCTACCTGGCACCTGCGGTGCTGGCCTGACACTCTGCCCTGTTATTCTGGGTCTCTTGACACCAAAGGCCGGTCCCAGCCTCATGCATAGCAGCAGGGCATCGCTAGGGAGAGTGCCGGAAGCTGAGCCCCTCAAGTAGGGAGAGGCTCAAAATACGAATGAGGGAGGGCTGCCTCCTCAGTGGTCGACCACACTGATGCTAACGGAGTAAAGCCCCAGGACCTTCATTTGCTGATGGGAACGGCATGGCATTTCCAGCCTCCTCCTATGTATGTGAGTGTTCAGCCCCAAGTCAAGAAGAATCAAGCGGTGCTCTGTTATCACGGTGCTGGTGAGATGTACTGAAACTACCGAGGGCTGCCCAGAGAACAGGACTTCTGCTGTCTTGCAGAAGTACAGCCAGAAGTACAGCGAGGCTGACTAAACTGCCTCACCTACTTTGGCCATGTTTCAGGCAGGGCCAATGCCCGGCCTGGGAGAGGGCACCAGGCTGGGTCGAGTCGGTAGAAACCACGGGCACCCTCCGACAGGGAGACCGTGCCTGCAACGCTGGGCTCAAAGCTCACCCTGACGAGCACACTGCAGGCAGGCAGTGCTTCATCCTGCCGTGCAGCAGGGTGCCTCTGGGTCAGAATTGACCCAACGGCATGCAACCTGGCC